ACCAAACCAAGAAGGACCATCAAAAGGCAACATTGGAATGACAATCTGTTTTCTTTTGTTTATTTAAACTTTACTTTTGCTTTTTTTTTTGGAGACAAGGTTTTTCTTGTCATCCACTGGACTGCTTCACAACGTGAATCATATTTGTGCAGTCTCTTGCTTGTCTGGTGTCAATAGTAGCAATTCTGCTCTTCTTCCTTCAGAAAATGGAGTCAGACATCTCCCAAGCCTTCCAGGAAGAACTCACCTGCTTCATTTTCTTGGGCTACTTCACAGACCCAGTCACCATAAGCTGTGGCCACAGCTTCTGTCAAGCCTGCCTTCACCTGTCTTGGGAAGACATGGAAGTTCCTGTCCATTGCCCTATGTGTAGGGAACCATCACAGCAGAAGGACTTCAGAACAAACACTGTTCTGAAGAAGCTGGTGTCCATTGCCAGACAAGCCAGCCTCAAGAAGTCCGTAAGTGCCAATGAACACAAATGTGATACCCACAAGGAGACCAAGAGGATCTTCTGTGTGGAGAACAAGATCTACCTCTGTAAACTGTGCTCAGAATCCCATGAGCACTGTGCTCACACACACTGTCCCATCGAAACCGCTGGTGAGGACCAAATGGTAAGTGAATTTCCGGGAGAATTGGAAAGGTGAAGAGGGAAGCTATCTGACCACAACAAGATAGTTGTCCTGATCATGAGGAAGCAGCTGTTTTTAGAATGCAGCCACTTTCTTAATAGCCAATGAAGAAAGGGTGACTATGAATGTGAAGATCTCTTGAGAGACACAATGTGTCATTTCTATTTAGTGATTCCTTATGCCCCGTCCCTGGCAATGGAAACAGTAAGTTAATATATTTTCTTTTTAATTTTTTATTATTTATTTATTTATTTATTTATTTATTATGTATATAGTTATCTGCATGCATGATTGCACACCAGAAGAGGGCACCAGTTCTCATTCAGATGGTTGTTTGCCACCATGTGATTGATGGGAATTGAACTCAGGACCTCTGGAAGTACAGTCAGTGGTCTTAACCTCTGAGCCATCTCTCTAGCCCAAGTTAATATCTTTTTTAAATGTCTCTATGGCCGGGCGGTGGTGACACATGCTTTTAATGCCAGCACTCCAGAGGCAGAGGCAGGCTGATGCCAGTGAGTTTGAGACCACACCACTCTATAAGAGCTAGTTCCTGGATAGCCTCCATAGCCACAGAAAGCCTGTCTCTACAACCCCCCAAAAGTGTCTTATGGCTGAAGACTAAAATATAAAATACATTGTAGTCAACTAGAGAGAGAAGAACCTGAGA